TATCTGTATCTGTATCTGTATCTGTATCTGTATCTGTATCTGTATCTGAGTATCTACTCACCTGTAGTTGAATATCAAGTTGAAGAATGCCATTATCAGTCCAATCACATTGAGTATTAGCTTAAACTTTTCATAGTCATCTTTGTAGCGAACTTTGTCGTTTCTGTTCAGAATCGAGACATTCACATCGCCTAGTATTATCTGGGGGATGGCATGAGGGATGGGGGAGGGTAGAGGCGTGTCAACTCTAGTGCGCGACTACAAGGGGTCAGTGTGACCAACTCACCTGTAGATAGCGACCGGATCGTGCTGGCAGCGATTGCTCTATTTCATGTAATTGCGCCTTTCGCTTGAGCGACATCTTTAACAGATTGTCCAATTTCTCCTTCTCCTCGCCTTCAATCGGTCCTTTATATCTGGAATGCAATTAGTATGTTTAGAGTGAGGGGGAGATACATATATAGGAGGAGATATAAAGACTTGAGTTAATTCTTGTTTGTATATAGTTTGTCTTTTGGTGAGTTTCTTTTTACTTTTTCGTAAGACTAACTGAAAATGGAGTTTTGGGAACATTCTGTTATTATCAGGATTTTCATTACATTATTAACAAAGTAGTACAAAGGAACAAATTGAGATTGATCTAGTCGAAAGTGTTCTAAGTTCGGACAATTAATTGTTGCACAACTTTTAATCTACTTAGACTTTCATCATCGAATTTCTGGAGTATAATAATAATGCTCGGATCTCTGCAACTGCCAAAGAAACTCCCGATTTTTTCCAATTCTTGGGAGAAGGCGGAAAGGTATACTAAATCCAAAATAACATTACATCCCAAGCTACCCATCTATTAACGATACATATAGGTAAAAGGCTTGGCTTATCATAACCCATAAGATTAACCCATTCGTAATGCCGTTAATAGTTCATCTTAAGTTTTTCCCCAACAGTATTCCGATCTTAAAGCTGCCGGCGAATTGCTCCATATGCAATTTGCATAAATATATAATATTTATTATTATAGGGCAGGGGAAGCACTGGCCCAGGGGAGGTTGGTCAAAGCCGGCGAGCGATATCAATTATAGACACGGCACACGGCATACGGCGTACGGCGTACGGCGCACGGCACACGGCAATTTCAATTTAGCCCACGTCAAAGTTCAATTTAGACATAATTGACAGTTGCAAAGGAGCACGAGAGCCGACTCACTCCATGTGCGTCTATAGGGTATACGCTACACAGGGCATATGCCCAAACACATACTATATATGTTTGTACAGATATGGGTATTACCTCCTGGGTACATTCTTATTAGATTTCGTTGTTTGTTTTTAATTTTTTATCTATGGCTTGCATAATTCATGTTTTTATTTTTAAACATCCAATAAATAACACGTAAGACTCTTGCGAACGGGCGTTAGCGACTGCCTGATACTCGTGCATGGTGGAAAAATAACTGATTTTCGATAAGCCTCAGATGTTCATGGAAATTAAACCATCAAAATTTGGAACTTGAATTTTATATAGATAAAATATTAAATAATAAAAGATTATATATGTTTGATCTTCAATTAACTAAACTATTATAACTATTCCAAATTGCCATCTTAGGCTTATATCAGATATATATCTTATTTTAAATTTCATTTTTCCAAAGAACAAATATACTCCTCACATTTGTCAGACGAGTATAACTTAATACATATGCTCCATGGGCATGCCTACATATAAAATTTAGTATATATATAATAAAAATCGCGCTGATAAGCGATAAACGAGGGAGCGCCGTCTTAGAGAATGCGAAAAAAAATCGTACTTGAAATTGTGGCACTGATAATGGGGGCTACTGAGTTGGTCAAATAATAATCGGGGCTCTGTGACTTGTGCTTGTACTTGATGTATGGCGAAAAAAAAAAAAAAAAAAAAAACAAGAAAAAAACAAACAAACAAAAATTGATTCGTAAATTCCACCCGCAGGTGTGTTATATAACACCGGAAATGGGGCTAAAAGGCGACATGTTCTCATAGACAAAACATATGTACATCGATACACACACACACACATACACACATACATACATATATGCTAGACAAGCACAAGCAACTAAAAATAGTTGCTTGTATTTATCTTTGGCTAACAGTTTTTATACTCTGTTTCCAAAGAAACAACAAAAGTATATTGGCTTTGTGCAATATTCGACCGGAAATACATTTTAAGAGATAATAATAATAATAAATTTATTAACAATAGTTTTCGACAATAACAATATTAGTTATTTCTGTTATACACCGATGTCCTAACCTGGGCGCACAGTATTATGCAGTCAGTAGCGCCCGACTGCATCGTTCTTACATTTCTCTTTGATTCCATTTGCACACGCGCCAAGAGTCGCCTGTGAAACGCGCGCGTTTTGCATGCGCTTTTAAACGCGCCTTCGGCTGAAGCGAAAGGCAAACACAAACAGAAGCACAAGCGTACGCTTGCGCAACTCGCCTGTGCTGCACGCAACGTTGCGCAAGCGCAAGCAAAAAAAAATAGATAAATTGATGCTACTTTGTTTATATTCATATGTTTACTTTGTTTGCGCAAACGTAACGACAACGGCAAGCAAAACAATAACCGTAATTGCTTTTGGGTGCTGTTAGTTAAGCTTTCTATTTTGTTTTTAGTTCGTTTTTGCATCTGTCAATTAAGCTTTATTTGCGCAACAAGTTAAATGCCCTTTAAGGGCTGCACAGGTAGCGATTACATTTTTTTTCTTTCTTTTTTTTTATATTTCTCGTGCTTTCTAGAGTTTTGTAATTTTAGCTCGTGTTTACCATTTTGACAGAGGCGAAATCATTTAATTTATTGTTATTTTGATGTAGTTGCTGTTGTTGTTGTTGTTGCATCATTTGGATAGAGTAAAGCTGGCAGCTAGCCAAGCGCAAGGTCAACCGTTTGGAGGCAAAGACACAGCAAAACGCGCGCGTCTACATACATATGTATGTATAAACGCTCAGAGTGCACATACAAATATACAAACACACAAACAAGTGTTTGAGTTCACCGTTCAGCCATACAGAGAGAGAGTGTGAGAGCGGCGAGAGAGAGTATGAGAGTGAAACGCTTTGGTTTGCGAACCAGCGTGTAAAGCGTCTGAGCGAGTGCAAAGAGCAATTTTGTACATGTGCTCTCTGGCGATCGTTGACACACATACATACATACATGCACACGCTGACACACACAATTAAGCGCCAGCAAATAAAACTCCACAACTGTTACAGCAACAACAACAACAACAGGTAAACTGGCCTTGCCTGCGTGCACAGTGGATCACTAATGCATCTCTCAAAGCGAAATCAATATAACAACAACGAATGCACAGTATATATTCATACACATATGTATATATAAATTGCTATTAAATGAATGATTTGTTTAAAAGATTTTGAATACGCAAATAACCTAAATAAATAGACAGGAAAACATATGAAAACTGGTTTTCAAACAATTTGTTTACCTATGCAATGTGCGCTTGGCGCATTTGTGCCACTGTGGTCACAGAGTTGGCTTTGTTTATTATTATTATTATAGTTGTTGTTGTTTATTTGGTTATTGTTTTTCTGTTTTCTGTGTCGCTTAATGTTTGCTGGCTTTTCAGTTTACGCTTCATGCAGCACAGGGTCAAGGGCAGCCAGTGTGAAAGCGGGGCAAAGCAACTGCAACTTATTGAATAGGAAGAGCGAACGAGTGGACAAGACAGAGTGAGAGCGAGTGAGCGAGAGGGAGGGCGCGAGTGAGGGTAAGAGAGTAGTGGCCTGCTCGCTGGGCAAAGGTACACTTTCAATTACAAAATAAACTTTTTTTTATATTTTTTTTATGACATTTGCTTTGACAATAAATGCGCCTAATGCCCGTGCCCGTTCGGGCGCAAAGTCTACGTATATTGGGGTTTTATCACAGATTTTTATCAGAACGGCTGCAAACACACACAAACACACACACACGCACATACACACAGCTGTAAAAACTAATTGCAAACTAACTAGAAGCATTACGCACTTTAAATGCCGCCACAGCTGTTTATAGTCTCTGGGAGGAGCCGGTGGAGGGTGGGGGCGTCGCAGTGACGATAAGAACAAAATTTACTGACTAATTGCCGACATACAGTTGTGTTTCACAACTTATTGCGGCTGCTGATAAGCAAACGGTTGGGCTAGCTGTTTCCCAGTTGCGAATCTGATTAGAATAGCCTAGTTCGCAACGGTAATTGATTCGAGATCAAATTCCAATTGGGCCACAACTTCAATGAGAGTGTGTGCGTGTGAGCGAGACAGAGAACGTGAGAGCCGTCGGGCTGTTTGTACTATTCGAGATGGCCATTTAGCAGGGCATTCGTTACCCGAGTTAAGCATTCGACATGGAGTTGAGCAGGTAGCTGAGTGCACTTAACGGCACTTTAACACTTTGTTGACCTTGTCAATTTGTTTGTTTCTTACGGCAGCGATAAGATGCAGTTATTATGGCATTTACAGTTATGGCCGTAATAAATGGCATGCCCAAATGTGTCGTGTCACGCGGCCATCCCTAGCTGAAGCCTGTTGCATACGAATGCTAGCTAAGTACAGTTGAAAAGTTTTGCATGTAATTATATAAGGGTTGGCTTTGACACCATAAGCGTGCGTGCGTGCGTCTGTGTGTGTGTGTGTGTGTGTGTGTATGTAAATGGTACAGTTATATGCTAGTTATTCTACTCACTGTCGTATTGAGGCTGATATTTGATTCATACGATATCGCTGATGCTTGATCTCGTTAAAGCATTTCTGTTGATGCTGATGCAGCTGCTCCAGCAGCTCAATGTTGCGTCTGTTGCACTCCTGCACAGAGGAACACAGAGAGAGAGAGAGTGAGAGAGAGAGAGGAGAGAGAGAGAGGAGAGAGAGTGAGACTGTGTTAACAATGAGCAGCTGATTCAAAATCGAGAACAAGAACAACAAACACATCTACTTATATGTACATAAATACATATGTATGTATGTATATTTATTCATATCTATATTTACACCTACATCATTTAGAACAACAACAACAGCAACAACAACAGCTCAACTTACCTCAAGCTCTGCATATTCACGATTGAGCTCATCCCATTCATTGCAGAGCGTTTGAATGTCCATTTTGTGTATTGCTTTTGCTGCCATTGTTCTTGTTGTTATTATTGTCTTCGCTGGACGCGCTTCGCACGATGTCAATTGTATGCAACAGCTGATTTGAGGTTAGGGTCTATGCAGTCTGTGTTGAGGTGCGAGAGATAGAGAGAGAGAAACAAAAAGAGAGAGAGAGCGGGTGAGAGAGAGCTTGACGGGAGGCGGGAGGTCAGCCGTTTGCCGGCTGCCTTTTGTTGGTAAAGGCGGTGTGGGGCGGGGGAAAGCGTCGGCTCTCAAGTATATTTTGGTGAAAAATCAATTGGCCGCTACGCAAGCAATTCGCTTTTACGTTCTGCACCGCAGCCACATCCAATTGGAATTGAATTGTAGTCACAAATAACACTTGGGTTTAGCACCTGGAGGAACTGAATCGATGGTAACGACGCTAGCGCCGCTATGTTTGGGGCTGCGTTTGTTTGGTTTGTTTTTAAAAATAAATTTGTGCGGAGCAGCGACGCTTTTGCCGTGCGGTAACTAAAACTGAACTGAACTGAACTGAACCCCAAACATCGACCGCGACAGCGACGGCGATCCAATTGGCGGCGGCGGCGGCGGCGACGGCGACGACGGCAGCGGCAGCGACGGCAGCCTGATCATAGGCAGCAAACGGCGGTCGGTGTGTGTGTGTGTGTGTGTGTGTGTGTGTGTGTGCGACAGTTAATTTGAACTACTCAAGACACTGATTCCGATTGGAGCGAGCTCCAAGCTAACCACAGACACAACAAACGACACTAAGCAGCAACAGCAGCCAGCAAGGCAGCCAGCCGTCAGTCAGTCAGTCATTCAGTCACGCATTCAGTCCGTCCGTCACTCGCTCGCTCACTCACCAAACAATGTAATGCGCGCTGCTGTGCCAGCAACAAATCAATGAGAGCGAGCGAGTGCCGTCAGCCAACGCTCGCTTGTTGCGCCAGCTGGTTGTCTCGCTCATTTGCCTGCTTCTTGCTTGCTGTCTCGCGCTCGCGCACACACAGCTTGCGGCGCGCTGTGCTCGCGTGGTTGGCCCATGTTGAGTTTCGCATGTCGCCGTGGTGAGTCTACTCGGGGTGGTAGGTTTGCGATAGCGCGCGCAATTCAAAATCTTCGGCACTTACCAGCATGTTAGTGTGTTGGCCGTGTTTGGTTCACGAATAAACAAATTTTGGGTTCATTGTGTACATACGGTAGATTTAATGTAAAATGCGACGCCTGTTAACAGGTAATATGCATATACATTCAAATTTTGTGGGCGTCAGAAAAAAAATGTATAATAATAATAAAAAAAAAATTTCCATATAAATATATATATATGTGTATGTATATATATAAGCATGTATATGTATTGAATCGGGGGCCTACTCCTTGCGCCTGGCACGTAGTCGCAGCGCAAGGTAGGCAAAGCCACGGAAGCCCACAATGAGCAGAGCTAGGCCCACATAGTCGAGCGGCAGATCCGCGGCGGAGAAGTTCAGCGTCTCCAGGATGACCTTGCCGGAGCTGGGGCACGTTGTGTTCGAGGAGGTGCAACTGATTTCGCCGGGCTCCACGTCGGCCCACTGATTGATTAGTAGGCCCTCGTTGGCATACCGGAACCAGGAGAGATACGACAGCCATTTCAAATAGATGGGCACCGAGCCCGAGTTGAGGAAGAAGCCGCCGAAGAGCAGGAACGGTATGATGACCGGCGGACCCACCGACAGTGCCATCGATGTGGAGGAGCTGGCACAGGATATCAAATAGCCAAACGAGGTGGACACATTGGCCACCAGTGTGACCAGCGCCAGGCAGTTGAAGAAGTGCAGCACGCCCGCCCGCAGCCCAATCATCGGATACGCAATCGCCGTGAAGACCAGCGGCACGGTCAGAAAGAGCGGCAGCTCTGCTATGGTCTTGCCCAGAAAGTACGTGTCGCAGCGGTAAAGGCGACTGCGCGCCTCCCGCATAAACACCGGCAGCTCCGACGTAAACACCTGGTCAACGGGAAAAGCAAGCCATAGAGTAGAGCGGGGAGTGAGAGAGTTTTGCTTACATTGATCGTGGCAAAGACATTCTGGAAGGTCATGTTGGTCAGGAAGAGGAATATGGCTCCATTGATGTTCATCACGCCCACCTGCGTTAGCTGCTGGCCCAGAAAGATGAGGCCTATCAGCACAGCTACCATCTGGAAATATGATTATAGCTCAATATTACGAGTAAACTTGAAGATTTACATTGGACAGCGGATATGTGGCGGAGATATCAGATGTCCGACCTTGGATCTCAGTCCTCCGGCGGCGGACTTCCGACTAAGGTCATACAATATCAGATACCCGACCTTGGATCTCGGTCCTCCGACGTCGGACTTCCGACTACGGTCATACAATATCAGACACCCGACCTCAGATATCAGTAAGCGGACATCGGACTTCCGACATCGGACTTCGGCCATACAATATCGGACATCCGACCTCGGATATCAGTCCTTGGGCATTGAACTTCTGACACCGGATTGCCGACATCGGTCGTAGGACTTCAGTCAGAGGATATCGTATATCCGACTTTGTATATAAGTCATCGGGCATCGGACTTCCGACATCGGAGTTTTGACATTGGATTTTCGACCTCGAGCGTGGGACTTCAGTCATAGGAAGTCGGACATCCGACCTTGGGTATCAGACCTCGGACATCGAACTTTTGACACTGGACTATATTGTCCATTCGACTTTGTATATAAGTCATCGGACATCCGACAGCCTAGATCCATCGGCGGACTTACCGTAGTCTGTATGAGTCGCACTTTGACCAGCAGCGGCTCCTTCAGCACCGACAGCCAGGAGCGCCAGAGCACGGCCCGGAACTGCATGAACCACGTCGCCTTGTACGTATACCCATTCTCGGGCTGTTCCAGCGGCTGCGTCAGCGCCTTGGTGGCCAGCAGGTGCTCCATGTCGCGTGCCACCTTGCTAATGGCGAAATTATCGCAGATCTTGGCGATGCGCTCACGCGACTCCACCTCGCGGCCCGGCACAATGGCCAGCACCTGCACGTAGAAATCCGCCGGATTATAGTTGGTCGGACACTGGGCGCCAACGCTGCAAAGTAATTGGGGTTGAGTTGGGTTAGACCATGGGGAGTAATGTCCCATTGGGAACACTTACTAGGAGAAGAAGTCCACGGCCTCGCTGGGCGTGCCAAGGAATGCGACACGTCCCTCGGCAATGAGGAGTATCTTGTCGAACAGCTCGAAGAGCTCCGACGATGGCTGATGTATGGTCAGTATGACGGTCTTGCCCTTCTGCGATAGCTTCTTCAGCACCTGGACGACACTGTGGGCGGTAAAGGAGTCCAGGCCCGACGTGGGCTCGTCGCAGATGAGCAGCGGCGGATCTGTCAGGGCCTCGGAGGCAAACGCCAGGCGCTTGCGCTCCCCCCCCGACAGACCCTTCACCCGGCCCGGCACTCCAATGATCGTATGCTGGCACTTGCTGAGCGAGAGCTCCTGGATGACCTGATCGACGCGTGCCACTCGCTGCTTATAGCTCAGCTGGCGGGGCATGCGCACCATCGCCTGGAAGATCAGATGCTCCCGGGCCGTCAGCGAGCCAATGAACAGATCGTCCTGCTGCACATACGCGCAGCGCGCCTGCATCTCCTTGGCGTCCACGGGCTGGCCATTCAGCAGCCGCATGCTCGACGGCGACACCTGGACGCCGTGGGGCGAGCGAAAGGCCAGCGCATTCAGCAGCGTCGTCTTCCCGGCTCCTGAGCTGCCCATCACGGCCAGCAGCTCGCCCGGATAGGCAACGCCGCAGACTGTGAAAGTACGGCAAGTGAGTAAATGGAGCTGGAGGAGATCCCCGGGATCCCCGGGTCCTTGGCTCTTACCATTTTTGAGCAAATGCTTTCGCGGTGCCGGAATATGGCGTTCGTTGCAGAAGAGGCCTCGCGTCCGATTCACCAGCTGGCGCCAGTTGGAGCCGGGCTGATGCACTGCACCGAAGATGTCCACATTGTGCCAGGCATAGGTGAGCGTCTCGGGCAGCTGGCCATCGTCCGATGGGCTCAGCGTGCCATAGTTCTTGGCCTGGCCAAAGCCCTGGCTAATGCAGCTCTGCGCTGTAGCCGCCACATTTGTGGCAGCCGTCGCCGCGGCTCCCTGCTCCCCCTGCTGTAAGACACAAAACACAGTTTGCTGGGTGAGTGAGTGAATGGACCGGATGGCAAGGGATGGGATGGCTGGCTGGACAAAAAGGTTTCAAAACTTTTCAATTTCGCGCGAATAGCCAACACTCGTGGCCATAAAAAAGGGCGACGGCGCGTAAATCTTTTCGCCGTGCTAATCCCGTCGCCCACTTACGACCTTTCACAGGACAGACAGGCCCGGCGTGGGAGGCGTGGGCCGTTTAAGTTTCATAAAAAGACTCGAGACCATTTAAAATGTGCAAATTAGGGCGTCCATAAGCCGCAGACTGTGTCGATTGCTCGGCCCTGTTGCCACTTCGTAAGACAAATGCCGAATCGTCGCCGGATTGGGTTGGCCGTACTCAATCCGGCCGGGCCCAAGCCATTTGAAGGTGACTCGAGTCGAGCGAATGCCAAAACTTTGTCCTCAAATCCCCTTTTCGGGCGCACCGAATCGGTCCGAGGCCGTCCGACTCCGTTCGACTGCCTTCCGCCGTGTCCCACTGTGTCAAGCAATTGAGCAATTGGGCATCTCGTAATTTACTTAGCATACATTTCTTTTCGATTATCGAGCGAGTTAACTTGCTTGGCTGCGCCCCCTGCGATGGGATACATTTCGCATTGTTTATCATAAAGAGTTTTCCCCGCTAGATGCGGACGAAAAGTCGAATGCCTTTACATCTCATCTGATTGCTTTCAATGCCAGCTAGCACTCGACTTCGCTTCAAGATGTAACAAGTCTGAACCAGTTTTTAAGGGTGGGTCAGCTAGCGAGGCTTTGATAGTATTTGTATTTGAGAGCATTACGAAACATAGCTTGAAGTTGGGGAATATACAAAGCTCTTTCAAAGCAACTTTGTGCCTATATATCTCATATTATCTCCCTCGATTCTTGTTCTTCTCTCTCTATCTCTCATTATGTGAGTATCACAAATTCTCCATCTCCTGAACTTTTTCTATGAATCTTTCTCCCTCTCTCTCTCTTTCCGAATTTTCTCTCCTTCGCTTTTACCCTCACTCTCTCTAGCTCTTAGCATTTCTTTCTTTCTCTCTCTGTCTTTAACTTCCTCTCTCAGTCTAATTCTCTCTCACTTGAGCTCTATTTTATTTTCTCTGTCTTTCTCACTCTCTTTATGTATCTATCAGAGAGAGAGAGAGAGAGAGAGAGAGAGAGAGAGAGAGAGAGAGAGAGAGA